GAGAGAGAGAGAGAGAGAGAGAGAGAGAGAGAGAGAGAGAGAGAGAGAGAGAGAGAGAGAGAGAGAGAGAGAGAGAGAGAGAGAGAGAGAGAGAGAGAGAGAGAGAGAGAGAGAGAGAGAGAGAGAGAGAGAGAGAGAGAGAGAGAGAGAGAGAGAGAGAGAGAGAGAGAGAGAGAGAGAGAGAGAGAGAGAGAGAGAGAGAGAGAGAGAGAGAGAGAGAGAGAGAGAGAGAGAGAGAGAGAGAGAGAGAGAGAGAGAGAGAGAGAGAGAGAGAGAGAGAGAGAGAGAGAGAGAGAGAGAGAGAGAGAGAGAGAGAGAGAGAGAGAGAGAGAGAGAGAGAGAGAGAGAGAGAGAGAGAGAGAGAGAGAGAGAGAGAGAGAGAGAGAGAGAGAGAGAGAGAGAGAGAGAGAGAGAGAGAGAGAGAGAGAGAGAGAGAGAGAGAGAGAGAGAGAGAGAGAGAGAGAGAGAGAGAGAGAGAGAGAGAGAGAGAGAGAGAGAGAGAGAGAGAGAGAGAGAGAGAGAGAGAGAGAGAGAGAGAGAGAGAGAGAGAGAGAGAGAGAGAGAGAGAGAGAGAGAGAGAGAGAGAGAGAGAGAGAGAGAGAGAGAGAGAGAGAGAGAGAGAGAGAGAGAGAGAGAGAGAGAGAGAGAGAGAGAGAGAGAGAGAGAGAGAGAGAGAGAGAGAGAGAGAGAGAGAGAGAGAGAGAGAGAGAGAGAGAGAGAGAGAGAGAGAGAGAGAGAGAGAGAGAGAGAGAGAGAGAGAGAGAGAGAGAGAGAGAGAGAGAGAGAGAGAGAGAGAGAGAGAGAGAGAGAGAGAGAGAGAGAGAGAGAGAGAGAGAGAGAGAGAGAGAGAGAGAGAGAGAGAGAGAGAGAGAGAGAGAGAGAGAGAGAGAGAGAGAGAGAGAGATATTATGTACCAATGATTTTTTGGAGCTCCTGCATTTCAAAATCTGGCGGTGCAAACCTGTGTACATGTTCTTTAGTCCATGCATTGAATAATAGAATAACAAATGTGCACATGCATGTACACACATACTGTACAGTAAAGCCTCAAATAACGACGTTAATGTATCCTCCAATAGTGCAGTGTAAGGTGAATCATCGTATCGCAAATCAATAATGACCATTAAAATAAAGCAATAATAATGAGATGCGTTCCCAAATGTGACCTCTTCATATCTTTTGTGTGGCTTTTTACCCTCTTTTCCCCCAAAACAATACAATTAATGAAAAATGCAAACTGTATTCTTTAAGTGATGATTATGAATGCACCTTATACAATATAAATTAATAATAATATGGTCACAAGAGAAGATGGGACGCCATTGTTTTCGTTAGTGTTTACACCCGGAAGTCCGGGACGATGGTTCTACAGGAGAAAATGAAGAAAACAAGACCCTAGTTGGAGCAGTAGTAAAATTAATGTAAAAAAATTAATACACTGTATATATGTTTTAAGTAACATTATTTAATGTTAATAAATGGAACAATAGAAGTAGCTAACCACTAATGGCAAAGAAAAAAAGTGAGATGGATTGGGAACGCCAACATATACGTAAGCATTTAAGGAGACAGCGTCATTTATCTTTTTAAGAATATGTACAAAAGATTCATTATTGTTTATTACTGAATATGTATTTGATTGAATTAATCTTTATATATGTGAAATGAACAATACAATTCATTAATAATACGTAGACTATTAAAACATACAAGAGGATAAGTGATGGCATTGTTGTCAGTGTTTACGCCCATAATGTCAGTTATCCACCAGAAACTGAAGAAAATAAGACCCTGGATGTTGCTGTAGTTAAATTAATGTAAAAAAAAAATATGTACTGCATGTTTTAATTTATGTTTTTTTATGTAAAGTAGAAGTAACCACTGATGGTAAAGAAAAAGCGAGACTGATAGTGGAATGCCAATGTATACAGTATGTGCGCACTCAAGGAAACAGTCATTTATCTTAAGAATATGTACAAAAGATTCATTATTGTTTATTACTGACTACAGTGAGTTCTGCTATAACGCGTGTTTTGATAACGCGAATTTGCTCTAACGCGATTTATGAATTCGGAACAATATTTGTATAACGCGATCGCTTGTTTGCTATAACGCGATTTTTGCTTACTATTTCTCCAATTTTGTGGTATTAACTGTGAATATGGTAAAGAAGAATATCTCCAAAAAGCATTCTGATGATAGAATTCCCGGTGATTATCGTAAAAGAAAGGATATAACACTTGAAGAGAAGCTTGATGTTATCGACCTCAAAATCACCCTTCTCCCCCATCAAGTTACATTCATATTTTTTCAAGGTAAAGTGTTAAATTTACTGTATGATTTCATTATTAGATATGAATGTAACATTTATTTAGACTGTGCTATCCTTTGTGTTAGGCTAACTACTAAATTTTTTCGATTTCGAGTAAACTGCACCTAACCCTATTTTCTCCATAAGCCCTGTTATTTCTATTACGCGATTTTCTATAACACGATATTTTACAAGAACACAATTATCGCGTTATAGCAGAACTACCTGTATGTATTTGATTGAATTAATGTTTATATATGTGAAATGAACAATGTAATTCATTAATAATATGTAGAATATTAAAACACACAAGAGGAGACATGATGGCATTGTTTTCGTGAGTGATGATGGTTCTACATAAGAAACTGAAGAAGTAAGACCCTGGTTGTAGCTGTAGTGAACTTAATGTAAAAAAAAATGAATACCTGTATGTACTGTATGTTTTAAGTAATGTTATTTAATGTTAATAAGTGGAACACTAGAAGTAGCTAACCACTGATGGTAAAGAAATAAGGCTAGACGTTTGGGAACGCCAACGTATGAACAGTAAGTGCGTACATGTGAAAACATATCGCCATTTCTCTACATATGATTATGAAAGCAACACTTATTTACTGTTCATATATGTTTTAAATAATATTTACAAATGTAAAACCAAAATTCTACTCATCAATGGTGGTAAAGTCTAAAATATAAGGACAGCCAATGAAAATTGTGCAAGTTTTTACTCAGATGACGAAGTCATCAGGTTCAACTCTGGCTGAAGCTGTAGGTTCAACTCTGGCTGAAGCTGTAGGTTCAACTCTGGCTGAAGCTATAGCTTTCCATAAAGTTGTTGCTGAAACTGTTACTGAACCTGAAGTAGTTGTTGAAGCTGCTTATGATGCTGAATTTGATGGTTTAGGCCTTCAAAAATAAAGCTGTCAAAAGAACCTTTCTTTTCTCATTATAAATCTTTATGTAGAGGTCATTTGCATTTATTTAAATTTTAATGCTTTGTTCTATTAATGGATCCACTTCAGAAAATATGTTCATTGCTTGCTTCATATAATATCCACATCATATAATATCCACGTCATATAATATCCACAGACCTCTAACCTTTTTCATATCGTTTTAACACATCTAGTTTCTCGGCTAAGCTTAAACCCTTTCTATTAGCTTTTGAAACAACACTACCTTCACTTGCTCTCTTGCTCATGTTGAATAGGGATGCAAAAATGCTGTATGAAACCTGAGAAAGTTTTTCTCCTTTTCCTGTTCAGATGCGTCACCACTAACAAGCCCGGCAGCCTCCGTGCGCAGAGCGTGGTTTTTTTTTTTTTTAATATCGGGATTTAGTTATTATTTATAGGAAAATGTAATATATATTTTTTTATTTTGTCTTAAATACGAAGAAAATAATGGCGTAAATTGAATTGGGTCATAAATTAACCAGGGTCTTCGATATGAATCTTCGTTAGTTGAACCGTTGTTATCGAAGGATTTACTGGACATGCATTTCAATACCAATTTAAAAGGGTCCAGCCAACCAGTAAACAACAGCTGTGATTCACTCACTTGTGGACAGTATTGGGTATCACTGTTGTTGAGTTACAAGTTGCCCTGAAAATTGACCAGTACAGTAGTAACATCTCCATTAGCTGGAATCCCTCAACCGAAACTCGATAGCCGGAATTGCAATTTTCTCGGAAAATCGTTCCCAAAGCCAGGATTTTCAAGAAAATTCTGGCTCTAGCAATGATTTTTTGAGGGGCACATTTTCTGGAAATTTCCGAGAAAATTTTCCCAGTACTGTATCCGAAAAATTTCCGAAAAATTCTGGGGATTGGAGAGTTTTTTCCCGAGTTTGAGAGATGAATATCAGGTGCATTTTACGGATATTCTAAGAAATATTTTCTGGTGCCCGGAAAATTCTGGGGATGGGGATATTTTTCCGGGTTCGAGAGATGATGTACAGTCATGCGCCGGTTAAAGTCCGTCCGAACAATGTCCGATCGCATATACGTCTGTGGCCCATGAAAATAATATGGGAAAAAAAAAACTTTCAGACAACAGGACGTAGCGGACGTAAGTGGCCTTAGAGCAGGCGTGGTCATGCATGCATCGCGTGTTTTTATAGATTGTGCTGCCAGGCGTATAATGATACAGTACAGTAACTATATATCCATAATATGTTTTGATAGATATAAGAAATGCCTATGTTACTGGTTTATGTTTTTTGGCTATTGTAGTGTACAGTACAGTACTTTTAATTTGATTTCTTTACTTACGAAATAAAAAGTTTACAAACTGTATAACAGTGTATGCTTGATTTTGTTGCCGACGAGGCAATATTGTACAGTACAAGTACACTGCAATATTCCACATACACGTAAGTATAAATACAAAGTTCACAATGTAATGTTCGGACAACGTCCAATTCGGTTAACGTCACGTTTCCAAGAACGTATCTAGGACATTAAGCGGTGCATGACTGTAATGTGCAATTTCTGCAACTTCCGAGAACATTTTTCCATTACACGAAAAAATATGGAAAATTCTGGGGATGAGGGATTTTTTTCTAGCTTTTAAAGAATTGTCTCGTTACCCAGAAATCTCATTCCCGGAAGTGCTCTGCACCAATTGTTCCAGCTAATGGAGATATCACTACCGGTAGTCGATATTGTTACTGGAAGCTGGTACTCACCTGTTGGCAGAGTTCATCCCATCCTTCATCATCCCAGCAAATCTTCTTTCCCCAGTCCTTGTAAAATCCCCCTGTAGGAAGAATAAAATAAAATGTTACGATAATCATCAGTGCAAAAGGAGAAAATGTCATCTCAGAAACATCACAAAAATTCAGTGGAGTCACGATAAAGTGCGTTTTACAAATTTGAAAGTACAGTATAGTCTCGATTTACGCGGATTTGGTTTACGCGTTTGGTCATTTACGCGGCACCTTGCCAGAATGAAAATTTTAAGTTACGCGGTTCATTCCATCATTTTGCGGGAAGCGGCGCTTGGAGAGTGCGCATTAGGTCACTCTTACATTATCGCTGACGTCATATGACGTATCAGACTGTGATTGGGCAACGCATCCTTGCCTCCCTCAGCCGCTAGCTGTGATTGGTCTAATGTAACATGACGTGCCCTGCCACCAGAGGGAAGAAGTCGCTGACCTAACCGGGCCAGTCTCATTGTTCTCAGTCTCCCATCTCCCCAGAAACCTTGAATATTATTTGCACTGTTCACCATCTAGCTGAACCAGCCCAAGTCAGTGATAGTGACAGTGAGGATATGGACTTTGAGGGGTTTGTCAGGGAGGCCCTGCAAACCTCTGTGAATAGTGTTAGTGATTCACCGGAGGGCCACTAATCTGCCCTCTGCCTCGGAACCAGCCGCCATCCCCATGTGCCGACCCATCTCTTCTAATAACGTATGTGTTAAAACACCTTTATATTTGTACAGTAGTGTAGTTTTTTATTTAGATATTATGTTTGTGTCAATACCATCATAAAATTATAATATTTTTACAACAAGGTACATATTGTCGGAAAAAGTGGAGTTTGGGAGTCGGCCCAGTTTCTATTTCAATTAATCCCATATGTTCTGTTATTTTGTTTACGCGGACCTCCACGGGTTAAATTGACCGTGTAAATCAAGACTATACTGTACTGTGACTTTTACGACCTTTATTTAAATATTGCTGTTAAATTTCCAAAATTTTCAGGGTCAATGTACTTGAGTAAGTTTCGCTGTGGCCGAGATAGCTCAGCTGCAGGGTTTCCATTTGCTATTTTACAATACAGCACTGTAGCAAATTTAAGGATTATTTTTTTATTTTTTTTACGCGATTAGCCCACCCGGGCACAGGTTACTGACCCACATCAGGGCCTAGGGGCGAAAATGTAATTAATAATAATAATAATAATAATAATAATAATAATAATAATAATAATAATAATAATGATAATAATAATAATAATAATAATAATAATAATAATAATAATAATAATAATAATAATAATATTAAAAATAATAAAGAACCATAAGGAAATACAAAAATGAAAAGAAAATCAGTAGTGAGAAATGATATATGTATGTTGTGTTGTCAATAGGAAGAGAAACAATTGAGACCCTGCAATTGTGTGTAAATGAGGCAGAAAGTCAGATCATCACCCTCGGACTTGGTCACAATTTTTGTGATGCCTTATGGCAGCAGGGTCTACCATTAGACAACACATTATGCTTCCAATATCTCCCCAGGCAGCAGTACTGTACCTCTCGTTTTGATAGCTGCCTACTACCTACTACCTTTGATAATGATGATATGCTTAAAGGACCTGGATACAGTACAATATAATAAGACAAAATGTTTGATACTCTGCTGAATTGTAAGATCATACATCAGAAGGGAAGGAAGGCAGGCCAGAGGTGATGCCTGTGACTGCCCTGTATGACTGTCCTCCCAGTGATTCTATTTCAACAGATTTATTACATGTCAGTCATATAACATAAGTTAAACCATCATTCATTTTTTCCTTTATTGTTTTCATTTCCGTGAATTTAAAAAAAAAATGATAATAAAATAATTACAGGGGGATCTCATTATACGAGCTTTCTTCATACAAGAATTCGATGATACGACGTTAAGGAATTTGCACCTTATATTCGCTATGCGAGTAATATTGTTCTATGACACGAGAAGCAAGTACAGTAGGGGGCAGTGAAATTTTGCTCAAAGCTGCACTCTTCAGGCATTGTTCCTTATACATATCTAAGACTCCATGCCAATTTGAAGCTGATATGTCGAGGTTTAGTCTGCCGCATTTTCTACTGAAATTTTTAAATTTACCTACAGTACTAGCCAAACAGCCGCTGTGGCGGTGCAATGTTCTGTTCAGTGTTTATCAACTTTTTTTCATATCTCTTATTTCATTTAAGTTGTCTTGTTGCAGATGAGTATGGTGCTATGTCTATATTGATTATCAGCCTTTTCTCATTTCATTTCTCAATGTTGTGTTACTGTACTGTAATGTAGGGGAGACCTGGGTAAGTTGCCGCTTGTGACCGATACTTGATTAGTGATTATGCTGGAGCTGCCATTGCTACTGCCACCTTAACTGACTATGGCATTATCACAAAGGATGACAAGAGTCAGGTTATTGGACCAGATAAGCTGCGGGATGCGAGACAAAAATACCGATTTAATAGGCAAGAAATTGAGATGGCTAGTTTAGATAATTTGACGTCACTCTATTTTGATGGTAAGAAGACCGCCACTCGTGTGATGATAAAGAATGAGAAGACCGAGAAATGGAGTTCGAGGATGATGGTGAAAGATCATTATGTCATCATGGTTGAGCCTGGCAATGAATATCTCACACATGTGACTCCCAAGACTGGACACGGAAAGCAGATTGCCAAAACTATTCACGAGTTTCTGGTGGAGAAAAATCTAACCCAGCAGCCCATTGTGTGTGTTGGTTGTGATGGAACCAATGTAAATGTAGGATCAGAAAATGGAGTCATTCATCATCTTGAAATGTTACTTGGTCACCCGCTCCATTATTTCATATGTCAGCTTCACGGAAATGAGCTGCCTTTCCGCGCAGTTTTTTATCACTATGATGGTAAACCAAGTGGTCCTGAGCATTGGCGTGGTCCCATTGGAAAGCAGATCAAGGAGTCTTTGTCTGAGCTTCCAGTTGTCGCCTTCCAGCCAGTCAGTTTCCCTGATTTCCCTGTGTTTAATGATGAAGTGGAGAAAGATCTGTCCTGGGATCAGAAATACCTGTATAGGATTTGTAAAGGAGTTATCACAGGTGTTGTTGAAGATGACTTGGCTGCTATTGAGCCAGGTCCTCCCTGTGTGTCAAGGTGGAACACCTTATGGAGTAGAATCCTCAGGCTGTATGTAGCAACATCAAGACCCAGCCATGAGTTGAAAAGAATTGTCATTACAATAATAAAGTTCAGTGCTCCAATGTGGTTTTACATCAAGATACACCCTTACGTAACACACGGCTCAAGGAACGTATTCCAGTCCCTGCTATATATGAAACACCTGAATAGTGAGGAGGAGACGATAGTGAAGAAGGCTGTCCAGAGAAATGCATACTTCGCCCACACAGATCAACTTCTTCTTGGTATGTGTGCAGATGAGGACATGACTGTTAGAGAAAAAGCTGTCTCAATGATAAGAAAAATTAGAGAGGAGAATCAGCAAAAGGAAGAATGCACTGACAGATCTGAAGATGAGGAGGAAGATTCTGATGCTGCTGTTGACGAGAATTTGTTAAACTATACTGATGAGGAGGGTAAAGATGGAGATGGGAATGAGGATGTGCCTCCTGTAGTCAACATGAGAAAGGTGGTGACTCCGAAACTAAAGTGGCAAGCAAAAAACTATCATTCCATGATTAACTGGAGGAATGAACTCAAGACTGAGCCTCCTTACATTGCTTCTCTGTCAAATCTACAGGTTAATGACATTCTTGAGACACCATTAGTGGTGCCCAAGTGGCCAAACAGCACTCAGGCGGTCGAGAGAGGCATAAAAGTGATGACTGAAGCTTGCACTGAAGTGACGGGATACGAATCGAGAGATGGATATATTAGGCAAAGATTATTGTCTAGGAAAATGATGCCAAGGTTCCGCACAAAAAAGAATTTCAATATGAACTTGTAATGATTTTCTATAAGGTGTACCTGTAAAATAACATGTGAATTAAATCGATGTCACCCATGTAAAATTTATCATTATCCTGGAAAACATTAAATGACACCTAATTTTTGGTATACACTAAAACTTGACAAAAAGTCGTTCGCGATGCGACAGGGTAAGTATGCATGAAATGGCATGAAATTTTGCACAGGTGTTTGTTACAGCCAAACAAACGATGCCTGAAAAGTGCAGCCTGCAACTCAAATAAAAGTGTTTTTTCCCTGCCCCCTAAAGTACAGTGAACACTTGAAGATCCGGTCGAGGAGGGGGGAGTGGGTACCACCTGTCCTAAAAAGCCAATTGTCCGAATCTTCCGGCGAATGTACTAAATGTATAAAAACGATAAATAATTATATAAAAAAACCCACCCAAAATACAGTACAGTACAGTTGGGTCTTCATTTAAGCAGTCAATTGAACCCATGTTGTACCGCGTAAAACGAGAAATGCGAAAATGAAATAACAGAACATATGTGATTAATTGAAATAGAGACTGGGCTGACCCCCAAACTCCACTTTTTCTGACACAATACGTACGTTGTAGTAAAAATTTTATCTTAAATTTATGATGGTATGCACACACACATAATATAGAAGAGAAATATCAATAAGAGAATAATATACAGTAGTACCCCGCTTAACGCGGTCAATAAAACCCACAGGGTACCGTGTTAAGTGAAAACCGCGCTAAGTGAACAACAGAACATATGGGATTAATTCCAATAGAAACTGGCCCGACCCCCAAACTCCACTTTTTCCACACAATACCTATGTTCTAGTAAAAATAACATCTTAATTTTATGATGGTACATGCACACAATTAATACTTAAGAGAAATAGAGAAATACAGTCCCAAGTTAATGTCCATTCAAATAATGGACTCAACTCCCTCCCCCTCTTCTCACACTACACTGCTGGCTCTTCCCTCTCTGAGAAATTTTGGGGGGAAAACCACTAAATTTTAATAACACTCAAACCAATAGAATAAGACTGACATTGCTGGATTCTCCTTTGTAAGATTAGGAATATTTTTGAATATAAATGTCAGTATA